ATTGTCAGGGCTAGCAGACACCTATTTTGTGTCCACCTCTAAATGTAGGTAAGTGACAAGAGGGAATAGGGAAAAGGGATATTCTGTCTTAGGCACCTAACTGCAGGAAAGGCTATGAATCCTGAGCAGAAGTAGGTGCCTTTCTTTGGCCCAGTTAAACACCTTATTTTCTTTGAGAGACATGCGTTACTGGCTAACTTGGGCAGCTTAGAGCACTGGTACAAATCTGGCTTTACCCTGGATTTGCACCTAAGATTGGAATTGATCCCTACAAGGAATCAGAGTGCTTGCCTCACTGCTTACATTTGAGTATAAAAAGACAGACACTTGGGCATTAACAAACAGAATGAAAACGAAGTTTGCCCTATCCGTGTCTTTTCTCTGGCTAGATAACGGCAGCAAGTGTGCCCACCAATTAGAATAATGATATCCAATTCTCTCTGGTAATCATTATTTGATAGGGCCTCATGAGGAAATAAAGCTCTAGAAGTCCAAATCACAGCATGTTCTTTATCCTGTCAAGCTGGGACCACAAATTCTTCAGTTTATTCCATGCCTGCTGTGTATTTTGCCTTGTGGGAGGTTGTAGCTGAGCCATATGCTGTAAGAAACCCTCCTGGCCCACGAAGGAGCAGATGGGAGCTGGCAGATGGGGAAGTAAAACAATGAAAGAAATGAGTCCTGCCTGAATAGATGACCAGGTGAATAGCTTCAGACTCACCATGTGGAAAGCCATCACAGAGTTCCAAGGCAAAGAAACAAAAATGGTAGGGGCAGGCTTTAGGACAGAGACTGAACTTTTATTTTTGGCAAGAAGAAAAATGGACAGACTGACACCAAACTGTTCAAGTTCTCTATTTCCAAAGAGCTGGGTGGCTCTGCTAAAATTATAATTGGGGACATAGTTATCACTCTTTAGACTTCAGGGTCAATGCCAGCTCACACCAGACACTTAATGAGTCACTTGTTTTTTTGGATGTTTTTCCTCACCTCATAAATAAGTTGGCTAGGTATTGAATTTCCTTTCAATGAAAACTTAAATTCTGCAGAAGTTGAAGTGGCCATCAGAGAAGTCCTGGTGCAATGATACCACTGAATGACAGCTCAATCCATCCTCTGGCTTCAGGGAAGATACTGAAACTATGTTAGAGAGGGGTTACAATGAACAGAGCAGAACTGTGGAAAGGGTCTTTGGGAATTCAGGTCATCGTAATTTCTCTCCAGGGTGTGTAGGCTGTAATAGTCATCTGCTGTTTTCATACCTGCCAAACAAAGCAAGTATTAGAAAGGGAAGGAAAGACAGAGAAAATCCTTCCTCGGTATGCTAATAGTCAATATCTGTGGAGGAGTATGTTCTACTGAGTTAAAATATTAGGAGCCAAGACTCCTGGGTTTTATTCCTAGTTTTGTTAGTAACTTATTGCCTGGTCTGGAATAGCCTGTTCCTGTCTTGTGCATCAGTTTCCCCGTCAATAAAATGGAGATAATACCACATCCCTCTCTTTCTGGATTATTGTACAGATTAACTAGCTAATATTTATAAAGTGCTTTCAGATCCTCAAAAGAAAGATGCTATAACTGCTAATTGTATATCTTTATGACAGATTTATTAGGTCTGTGTGTGTGTGAGTGTGTGTGGCATAGCCTTCCAAGCATTAAGTCTGAAAAAGGGCTCAGCATTTGAAAGTTAACTGGAGAAAAGGAATTCAGCAAGTTCTCTGTTTTCATTATGGCACACTCTCCACTGTACTTTGCATTCCAGCCAAAATGAACTACCACTCCAACTGCAACAATACCTTCTCAGTGCACTCAGACTGGCTCTCTCCTCAGGATTTTGTACTTCAGGTCCTACCAAAAGAAATAAAACGTGGTATGCATAGCTCCCAGAATACCTGGCTGGTTTCCCCTCCCCCTTCTTCTGAAGGCTGCAGCCTCTGATGTCTGAACTCAGTTTAGTAAGTGTCCTCTGCTGCATTTTGGCTTTGTATTGTGCCACAGTATGCAGCCCTTTTGAAATGAAAAGAGCAAAACCAGTACATTTGTAATGTTCCTGGTTTAAATTTTATTTTGAAGTGAACACTTTATGAAAAACTCTCCACAGGAGAATATAGAATCATAGGATTAGAAGGGATCTTGAGAGCTCACCTAGTGCAGTCCCTGCACTTAGGGGAGGACTATGTATTATCTAGACCAGGGGTTCTTAACCAGTGAGGTGCGCCTCCCCAGGGGAGGAGTGAAGGGGATACAGGAGAGGGGTGAGGTGCTCCCAGAAAATTTATCTCAATTGCCGTCCCACTGGATAAAATTCTAAAGATTAGATTTCTGCATAATTAATATTATGAATTAAAATTATAAACATTAATTTCTTATTAACTTCTAGAGATCAGCACGCTATAATAGCAGTGCGAATCAATCAGGCCTATGTGACGACACACTACAATAACAGTACGTGAGCATTGCCGACTTTCATCTTCAAATATTACGTACATTTGTTAGGAAAAGGTTCAAAGTAAAAAGCTCATATTATTCATTTAGGCATTCCAATGGGGTTCACTCAGCCCACAGAGCCATCAGCCATCAGACTTGGGAATTAGCTCGGATGGCTGCGTCCAGCTGGTTTGCCAGGTCCCAGGGTTCAGGCAGGCCTCGGGGTTCGAGCCAGGCCTTCAGCTCAGGCCTGTCCTCCGAATCACCAGGCACCAGTAGAGCCTTGGGTTCCCCTAGGTCAGAGGGTAGCCCTGCTGGCCAGCTTGGCCAGGCCTCAGCGGCCCAGGCAGGGAAGCCTTTGCTGGCCTGAGGGAAGGCGGCTATGGAAGGCCTGGGCCAGGTCTCAGCCTCATCAGCCAGGATCTCTGGGCAGGCCTCTGTCTCCCTCAGAGGCTGGGCCCCAACTGAGCTCCCTGGCAGAGTTCTTATAGTCCTAGCCACGCCCCTTATCTTCCTGTCAGGTGAGGGGGCGGGGCTAGGCTGTGCACAGAATGGCTCCCAGGGAGTTATGAACATGAAGTTCACTTTCAGGGGAGGTGTGAAGGTAAAAAGGTTAAGAACCCCTGATCTAGACCATCCCTGACAGGTGCTAGTCTAATCTCCTCTTAAAAATCCCCAGTGATGGAGATTCCACAACCTCTCTAGGCAATTTATTCCAGTGCTTTACCACTTTGACAGGAAGATTTTCCTAATGTCCAACCTAATGTGCCTTTGCTGAAATTTAAGTCCATTGGTTCTTGCTCTGTCCTTAGATATTAAGGAGAAACATTTTTCTGCCTCCGCCTTTATAACAGTCTTTTATGTATTTGAAAACTGTTATCATGTCCCTCCCTGTCTTCTCTCCTCCAGATTAAACAAATCCATTTTTTTCAATCTTCCTTCATAGGTCCTGTTTTCTAGACTTTTAATCATGTTTGATACTATCCCCTGGACTTTCTCCAATTTCTCCATGTTTTTCCTGAAATGTGGAACCCAGAACCAATAGCATAGCGAGAGAAGGGCAAGGGGGGGCAGTTGCCCCCAGGCACCACGCTGGGGGGGGGCACCAATTTAGTCTCCCTCCGCTCCCCCTGTCATCCCTCAACTCGCCTGCTCCTCCTCTGCCCGCCGCTACCTGCTGGAGCCTCCTTCCTGCTTCTCCGCCCCCAAGCCCGACCCTCCTCCATCTCCGCTGGCAGGTTAGTGCATGTGGGGGCCTGGCCCCAAACAGTGGGGGTAGGGGAAGATGCTCTCCCCCCCAGGGGTTGGGCTCAGCCATTCGCCAGGTTCAGGACCCTGCCGTGCTGTGGCGGCGGGCAAGGGGGGGGCACACATTTTTCCTTTGCCCCCGGGCGCATAACATCCTCTCTACACCTCTACCCAGAACGGGACACAGTACTCCAGCTGAGGCCTAATCAGTGTGGAGTAGAGTAGATTGACTCTTGTGTCTTGCTTGCAACACTCCTGCTAATACATATTGTTTCAGTTCCCACATGCAGTGCTGACTGCCTGGAGGCCAACTACAGAGTTCAGAGTTGCCCAGGGCTACGCCAGTGCAAAACCCCCATTCTTTCCTCCCCATCCCACCCCCAAATACCCCTACAACAGAAGGCTTTCCCCACCATACATGAAGATGTCTTTCTTGTCTGAGCATCTGCACCTGATATCTCTTGGGAAAGGAATGGGCATTCTGTACTGGAAAAGTTAATGAGTGGTTGGGGTGGTCCTGCACCACAGTCTATAGGAGGCAGGGGCAGTCTGGCACACAGTGCTTTCCCTATGACTATCACAGCCTGCACCAGGAGTGGAACTGACCTCCAGCAGCATGAAGTTCAGAACTGAGGCATTAAACTTCTTCCTATCAGTCTCTGCATTCAGCTTGGTACCAGCGGATGGATGACTCAGGGCCAGAGAAGGTCCATGTCAACAGCTCAAACCAGCTTGGTGCTGAGGGTATTCACAATGTACGCAGTTGAAAGTGTCCTTGGAATGACAATATTTATCTTTCTGTTGACTCACCTCTTGTGGGCACTACAGAATAAGAGGAAAGAGAGCTTTGAATGCCTCTCCCTGAAACAAGTCAGCCTTGTCACTGAATTAAATGGGCATGGGTACATGCCGTATCTGTATGCATTTTCTAAATCTTGAGTTCCAGAGTGGGATTTCAATACCTGTGTTAGTTGCTCTGACTCTCCATAGGACAAATCGTGGCAACCGCCCCAAGTCCCGTACTTTTGGGGGCCCCGCAGTGCCCACCTCAACTGGTCCTATGGATGGGAAGGACCCAGGCAATTATGGGGGCCTAGCATGGGGCAACAGGAGGGTTGCTCACCCATACACTCATCACGTGGATGGCAGGGGCCGGAGCAGCCCGGCAGCCAGGCTTCTGGCACACTGTGCTTGGCTTCTTCGTGTTGGGGAGAAGCAGAGTGCCCCGGTCCCAGGTGCTCCACTTCCTGCCACCATGGAGAAGTGGGGTACAGTCGGTTGCACAGTGGGATAGAGCAGGTTGCTGGGCCACTTCAGCACCTGCTGCCCATGTGGTGAGTGTGTGTGGTGGAATCCCTGCTGCCGGTGTTGCAGGCTTCCCCATACTTCCCTGGGCCATGTTGCTTGGGGAGGGGGAGAAGCGGGTGGAACAGGGGCAAGGCTTGGGGAAGGGTGGGTGGACCGAGGCCTGCAGTGGAGGAGTTGCTCTAAGCCCCCACACCCTCTTGCGATGGCCCTGGCTATTGATGTGGACACAGCATCAAAATGAGGACAAACACCTACATGGTATTAAATGTCAGGTGCAACTTTTATTAAATTTTAACACAGAGGAGGAATACTTCTTTGCCAACACCCAGACTGTTCTGTACCAGGCAGTTAATTGGTTCCAGTGTGGGGCATTCAGGGCTCCTTGCCATAGAATGATTAATGTGGAGTGGGCTCTCCTTAGCTTATTCTCCAGAACTCAGCTCTCTTTGAGTCCTAGCACCCTTTCCCCTCATACAGGGGACAGACAGTGCAAAAGGGTGGGAAACTCAGCCTGCAAGGGCCACAAAGTCTCACTCTATGAACTCAAGGCCGATCATCAAAGTCCAAGGTCTTTTATCTCTGGGAACTATTCATTTTATTCTCTTAACCACAGTAGAAATGGGTCACAAGTTGTGGTGAATAAATAAGTCTACCCCAGTACCTCAGTTAGGGTGCATCTACATTGCATCCTTATTTTGAGATAACTTGCGTTATTTTGAAATAATAATGCGAGCGTCTACACAGCCATTCCATTATTTCGAAATAATTTTGAAATAACAGACAGCTTATTCCAAAATCTGTAAACCTTATTCTACAAGGAATAACGCCTATTCCGAAATAGCTATTTTGAAATAAGGCATGTGTAGACTCTCCACTGCTACTGTTTCGAAATAGTCCCTCACCAGGGTCATTCTAAGTTATTCCTCCCCAGTGCCTCCTAGGGCTCTAAATTGCGTTAGCACATCTACATTAGGGAAGCCTGCCTCAGACTAATTTTGAGTCTTCTTTGCAGTGTGGACGTGCTATTTCGAAATAAGCTATTTCGAAATAACTATTCTGGAATAGTTTATTTCAAAATTAGCGTGCAGTGTAGACGTACTCTTAAGTACTAAGTGCATTTCTGTTTAACCCACAGTAGGTTAAAGGTGCTGTAAGGAAGGCAACAAACTCCCCGTTCTGCCACCAGTGGTCCCATGGGAGAAAGAATTAATTCCCAACTCCCAAACAAGTAATTGGCTAGACCAGTGTCATCTGTCTGTCTGGATTCTCACTATTAGACCAAGTGAGCAGAGAGGGCTCTGTGACCCTCATGCCAGGTTATATACGGAGAACTGGGGAATGCAGGCCAATGAGCTGGCCAGAGACTTCCTGGGGGAGAAGCTACCTATTGTCCCTTGGCAACTGTGTCTTTCCTTTGCTGTTAGCACTGTTCCCCTTTCACTGCTGGCCCCGTCAATATCCCCCGCCTCTTAATGCAGGTGGGTGGCACTTCTGAGGTTGGTGATGGCAGCAGTTGTAAATTGAAGGAATAATTTTTAGATTGGATAACTGGAAACGTGTAACAGTTTTTATTGAGAGGTGTTCCTTTCATCAGGGTTTCTGAGGGCTAAACAATCCAGACAATCCATGTGCATCCATGTGTTCCTGACTGCTCCTAGATCTGAGATGGTGGTAACAGGGAAAAAAGGAGTGTACACACACAAATTGATGGAGAGGGGGAGAAACGGGAAGATCAGGAAAAAGAGAAAAGGATGGGTGAGGAGCTTTCCTTTGTAAAGCATCACATATTAAACTCAAGAATTCAATGATCTGTTGATAATTATCATGACCACATAAGATACCAAGCTCTTTGGTATTTAAGAAAATGTATAGCTTCCAAGATGAGTCACAAACCAGATCTGATATGTTACCGTTGGCCGCAATGGTGGAAGGTTTTTTAATATAAAGATCTCTTCGTCTCCCCTCTGCCCCTACAACTTCCCTGTTCTCAGAAGGTTAATAACATTATGACAAGCAGATTGTTTTCCATAGATGCCTGAAGCCAAACATAGCATGAAATTTATAGCTTGTGGGACCACCCATTATTACAGTCTTAATTATTTTCTTAAAAAATGTAGTCTGGAGAAAATATATTGCTATTCAATAGCACAAGGAAGTTCCAAGTTCTCACTCCCAGGGAGTACCAGTTAAGAAGGGGAAACCATCTGGGCTTGCATTCCTATAAGAAGCTTTGAGCAGGGTTTTGTGCTGTTGGTGGATGACTTGCCAACTGAACTCACTTTTTGAGCACCTTTTTAAGAGCATGCAGTGGGTAGCATGTTAGTGAGCAGCTTTTGTGGGCTAGCGGGTGGACCCTTAGAATATGCAGAAGGGTACATATGTCTACAACAAGGGCACATCTACACTACATGGAAGATCGACGCTGCAGTGGTTGATCTTCTGGAGTTCAATTTAGCAGGTCTATACTGGTATAGACCTGCTAAATCAAACTCAGAGTGTGCCCCTGTTGCTACCGATACTCCTGCTCCTCACGAAGAGTAAAGGAAGCTGACAGAAGTATTTGCTCCCGTCAACCTCCAGCTATGTGGACGGTACAGAAACGCGGTTTAAGATATATTTACTCTACCTATGGGTATGTCTACACTACAGCGCTAATTCGAACTAAATTAGTTCGAATTAGTTAATTGGAACTAAGCTAATTCGAACTAACGCATCCAGACTAAAAAACTAGTTCGAATTAGCGTTTTGCTAATTCGAACTAGCATGTCCACACAGAGTGGACCCTGAACCAGGGTTAAGGATGTCCGGAAG